TGGGGCTGAATTGATTGGCTAACTTTACATGCCTATATCTTTCTTGTTTCTCAACAAACAGGATGAAGTTTAGAATATGAATAGGTATTATGGATTCCTACATGAATAAAATTGAATGCAAGGACGTGCTTGCATGCACATGCGCACACGCAATGCATAAATGAACAATATGTTTGAAAAACGGTAAAATTTATATTTTTATCATTCTTATTGATTTCTGGAATATAAAGATATGTTAATGGTTTAGACAACATATCATGATCACCTTGCATGTGCATGCACGTGCGTTTGCGAACAATGCGTTAAATTACAAAAAGTTGATATCATTGTAGCTTTTAAAATTCTTTTATGAAATCCTGCGATACTGGGTAACATTTGAAATTGACACCCCTCGGAAAACCATTGTCAACCTCCACTCAACGCGTCGGTTGACAATGGTGCTCCTTGGGGGTGTCAATTTCAACTGTTACCCTCCAAAACAGGCACCATTTATTTTATTATACTGAATGTCTTCATAAATATAAGTCAGCAAAAAAAAAAAATCGTCGATCATCTTTTACGTTCACGTTTAGAAAGCTTTCAAACTCCTCGCTACTTCTAAAAAGATTTACTGACCTTTTTATTGTTTGTTTGATACTCTAAGAGTCTTTTATCATATAAAGTTTTGTTATTTCTGCACTCACAAGCATGTTTCGTCTGTCGTTTGTTGTTTTCAAGTAAGCTACATCGGACGCAAGCTTTTATTGACGTCAAGTTTATTCCAGTTCTTTCAAACGCGCAACTGACGTTTTGAGAATTCTACGGTGAACCGTACGCGCATAATATCCACGCATGAGGCATTACCTTTGTGTTACCCGTTGCCACATGCGTTGCTAAGGCTGAGGGTAATAGAACAGATTGTTAACTGCATCTAAACCAATCAGATTTTAGTATTTAACATGAAAGTATAATAAAAGGAGAATATATAGGGACATCAACCAAGGCTTTTTTAGGAGTACCCAAGTTCAAGTTCAAGTTCATTTATTCTCTCAAAACCATTTAAAATACATGGTACATGAGGACAAAAAATATTTACAGCATAAATATATTCAGGTCAGAGGTATAAGTATACGATATACATAATTAGAAAATGGCAATGTGAGAAAAAAAGAGATAAAACATGTATGATACATGTATGAAATGGAATGCACCATGTATGCATATATGGGCTGGGTATTGGCCAGAGATTTTTTATTGCAATATACTTCAATATTTTTAACTGTATTATAATATTTATTGCAATATTTTCAGCTAAAATTTAAATAGAATTTCTTATTATTTACTTCCATTTACATGCAGAATATGTACATAAATAATAAATAACCAAAATTAAATTGCCGATCTACCGGTAATTTCAGTTATGCACTGAAATTCACCTGTACATCAGCTTGTCTTATTGTTTGGCTTTATCACAAACCTTTCTACAATTTTTCTTTATAATTATTTAATGATAGAATTCACTTGTATACACATTTGGATTTTAAGGTACTTGAGTGGGGACTAGCTACAAAAACTTTTTCTTAAATCATCTATTTATTAGAAAGTGATTTGAGTATATCAAGACAATGTTACCCTGTAGAAATACTGTTTACTTAAATATGTAGTCAGAAACTCAGCAGTTCAACATATACAGCTATCAACAAAAAAATGAATGGGATCAATTCAAAACCTATAAAGTCTTCAGAATTGATCTTAAAAAATATGATGTACCAACTTAGGAGTTATAACTGTCTATTTGAAAGCAACATGTAAAACTAAAAATGATACATCTTTTCCTAGTTTTCTGTCAGAGGGTTATGGTGTCTCTCATCCCTGATTAACTTAAGGATTTATAATTCTTATAAACCAAAAGATTAACCTGTGTTTTGATTGAATTTTTAGCTCACCTGGAGGAAGTCAAGATGAGTTTATGCTATAGCGTCAGTGTCCCAGATAAAGTTTTAGGAGCAAGTCCATTCCCAAGTAACTATAAGCCCTACCTGAACCAAACTTGCATGGATGATGCATCTATGGATGGACACTATCAGACTTGCTTTGGATGCTGGATCTGACCTACATTTTCCAGATGAGTGACCAGGTAAATGTTTTAAGGAGCAGGTCCCTTTCCAAGTAACTAAAGTCCTACCTGAACCAAACTTGCATGGATGATGCATCTAGGGTTGGATACTGCCAGACTTGCTTAGGATGATGGATCTGACCTACATTTTCCAGATGAGTGACCAGGTTCAAGTTTTTGGAGCAGGTCCATTCCATAGTAACTTTAAGCCTTACCTTCACCAAACCTGCATGGGTGATGCATCTAGGGATGGGCACTACCAGACTTACCTCAAATGCTTGATCTGACCTACATTTTCAAAATGAGTGACCTTGGCAATTCTTTTGGAGTAGCTCTATGATTATAAGGCCTCTTATGATTTAATCTGCATGAATGATGCATCAAAGGATGGACTATTCCAGACTTGCCTCAAATGCAGGAAATGAGAGACATTTTCTTGATTAGTGAACAGGTTAAAGTTTTTGGAACAGATGATTCCCAATGATAACAAACAGAATTTGCATGAATATTGTTGTCAGATTGCACACTAACTTAAAAAAAAATATGATGTGAGAATTGCATTAATATACCGATAACATTCGTTGAGGTGAGCTTCGTAATCTTTGATTACCTATGTTTAGTATTGTTTACTATATGTAATCAGGGAAGAAAATGTGCAAGAAACTCATCCTTGTTTCAATGGAAGAGCCCTGCTCACCATGTCAACCACCCACCTACATGTACCAAATCACAAAGCAGATCTACTTTCATGTAAAAGATATAGATCTAGAATATTCCTTTGTTTAAAATATTGATACTTGTTTGAAAAATAAACTTTAAAAAATTATGTCAAAAATGTTTTATTATTATTGATATTAGTTGTAAAATAGATTCAAAATACATGTAAATAAAGCCAAGTAAATTTTAAAAGTAACTGTTCTTAATGCAAGTAGTGGAGAATTCACCTACACATATAACACAGGTCAATAGCTGATGACCTACAACCTCTCAGAATGCACAAGGTATAGAAATCAACTACACTGATCAATAGCTGATGACTTTTAACCTCCCAGAGTCAAACTCTCCAATCCAGAGCCTGTCCTTATCGTCCACTGCCAGGCCACATGGATGGTCCAGACTGCAGCTGTCTATCAGGGACACAAACTGACCATCTCTGCTTATGATGTGGACCACATGATTTTCACGGTCAGCAACCAAAATTTGACTTTTGCTGTCAGTTCCAATGCAACGGGGAACAAATTTTGTTACAGATTTAGAAGCTATTAAGCCATTATATCGAAAACGGACTTTTCCATAAACGTTCAGGACAACAACTTGATTGGTATTGCAGTCTGCAATGCAGATATCTTTGTTTCTGTTTTCAGTGAGATATAAGAGAAAATTTCCAGTTCCAAATATTGGTTTCCTCTTCTCGTCAACCTGAATCTCTTGAATCGTCTTAGTTCCCGCATATCTATTTACTTTGCTCTCTGAAAAATTTGGCTTCATCAAGCTAACCAGGAGTTCTCCAGCAGCTGTGATACACAGGCCCTGGGGTGTCCAATCCTGGTATTTTATCAATGAGGAAATAACTCCCTCTTTTACTTCCATGACAGCACAGGTCCTGAAATCAGAGTACAGGAGGTTTCCAGATGAGGAGACAGCAATATCGTGTGGAAATATTCCTGATACAGTATTTACGGCACCAATCTCAGATCCGTTTATATCAACTCTTCTTATCCCTTTATCTTTTCCACTGATCCAAACCTCATTCCCTCTTAGGAAGCTGACTCTTTTGATGTGTTTTAGGGGACTTTTTATATTAACCAGAACCCTGGCCTGATTGAAGATTGGGCTGTCACCATACATGGACACATCATGGTTGTGTCCTCTGTTGGAGGATACATGCTTTTCCACGCAGGAGCTGCACAGTCCTACACAGCATGTGTTACAGCGGAGCACTAGAGGGTTGGCACACAAACTGCAGGTTCTCAGTGTCTGGGCCTGAGATTCCATTGGATACTATATACTCCAGTAATTTCTGTGGAACCTGTCAAATAAATGACTTTAAAATAATTTTTCAGTATAGTTTATTCCAAGATATTGTTTCAAATTATTTATTGGAAAGCATCAGCTACATTGTAAATTCAATTTCTTTAAGTATTAAACTGTAATAAAGTAGTTTAAACAAGAGGCCCATGGGCCACATTGCTCACCTGAGCACTGTGGCAAGGAAAAAGTAGAAATCGGTTTATTATTGAAAAGTTTAAATCCAAAAGTAGTCCCTTGACCAATCATGGATTTGCTATTCTTGAGAAGATGATTTTTAAAGAATTTTCCTACATATTTCTATGTAAAACCTTGGTCGGCCATTGTGGCCCCGTCCTACCCCCGGGGGTCATGATTTGAACAAATTTGAATCTACACAACCTAAGGCTGCTCCCATATGAATATGATGAATTATGGCTTTGCCATTCACGAGAAGAAGATTTTTAAATAGTTTTCCTATATATTTCTATGTAAAACTTTGTTCAGCCATTTTGGCCCCGCCCTACCCCCGGGGGTCATGATTTGAACAAACTTGAATCTACACTACTTGAGGATGCTTCTAAATAAATATGATAATTTATGGCTTTGCTGATCTTGAGAAGAAGATTTTTAAAGAATTGTCCTACATATATTTCTATTTAAATGTTTGGTCGGCCATTTTGGCCCCGCCCTACCCCTGGGGGTCATGATTTGAACAAACTTGAATCTACACTACCTAAGAATGCTTCCATATGAATATGATGAATTATGGCTTTGCAATTCTTGAGAAGAAGATTTTAAAAGAATTTTCCTATATATTTCTATGTAAAACTTTGGTCGGCCATTTTGGCCCCGCCCTACCCCCGGGGGTCATGATTTGAACAAACTTGAATCTACACTACCTAAGGATGTTTCCCCATAAGTTTCATCTTTCCTGGCACGGTGATTCTTGAGAAGAAGATTTTTAAAACATGCCACCAAATTTTCATTAATTCACAATCATCTCCCCTTGAATGAGAGCTTGGCCCTTCATTTGAACAAACTTGAATCCCCTCCACCCAAGGATGCTTTGTGGCAAGTTTGGTTGAAATTGGCCCAGCAGTTCTTGAGAAGAAGTCGAAAATGTGAAAAGTTAACA